AAGATGTATACCAAATCACACAACTTAAATTCCCCAAATATCTCTCACATTAGGTTTTCCTGTCACTTTTGGCCTCACGTGAAGCAACTGTTTAGCATTGCACTTTTCGAAAACGTATTCATATACAGTACATGTAGTTGGTAAAAAAAAAAAAACTGGTTCAGATATTTGATACTCCGGATAACAAACGTTCGGATGAACGACGTTCAACAGAAAACTGTTTACCATTAAATTCTTAAAATAACTGAAACCACCATAGATGCACGCCAAAACAAAAAATTTCATAAAAAGAGTCGTTTTTAATTTCAGAATTAAAACAAACTTAACAAAACAAACGTCGAAATAAAAGAAAAACGTTAATTAAGTTTAAAAAGTAGCACAAATAAATATAATAATTATAATACAGTAAATAGAACGCAATAATTATAAGCACAAATAAAATATCTCCCCTTCCAAAAAAAAGAACATTAGCATTAAGATACCAGATTCATAAAAAAAACAAGTAGAAGAACATTAAATATTATCAAAAGCAACATTTTAAGAATTTAAATGGAAAAAGAAATAATTAGGCAGTAATGAATTTTTTTTTCTTTTCAAAAAAAATGAAACAGAACTTTTTGAAAAAATTGGGTCTACTTCCTGGCATTTTATTTTGTAGATGGTTCACTCTCTCCAAACTGGAACTTAATTTTCAGAAAAATTTTGGAACAATAATAATAAAAAATAAAAAAAATTCCAATGTTCTCTTCTTCAAAACTTGCAAGAAAGACATTTTTTTACTGTAATATGCTCCGTAATGAAAATATTTTCCTTTTTTATACCCATTTATGTGCGTTTCTAACATTCAGTGCAATTGAAGCATATATTTTATATTTTTTCATTCAATGAAGGGAAATGAAAAAATAAATACAGTCGGGCGTCGATTTAACGAACTCATCGGGAACGAACGTTTTGTTCGTTAAATCAGGGTTATTCTATATATCGGGGTCCAAGCAAAATACAAATTTTTTTGTACTTACCTTTTGCAAATTCTACAATAAGCAACAACACAAAAATATCCATATTTAGAAATTACACGCTTTTTATTCAACGGCTAAGAAAATTTTTAGGGATTTATTACGCACCAGTTAACAGGAAATTTTAAAATATTGACTAATATACACTCGCGGAAAAAAAAATTAGCTCAACATGAAATAATTGCGGGATCGTAACGAAACTTGGCTTGAAGGTACATGCCAGAGAGATATGCAAATGATTAGAAATGCAGATTGATTGCGCATTAAGTATACCCGGTAGAGGGCATTTAACGTCGTTCTCCGTGGAGTATAAAACGGGTAACCAATACGTGTTTGAGTGTGCTGAATCGTTTACAAAGGATGGCCTGAAGTAGACATGCCATCACGCCGTTTTCGAAGACAATATGAGCAGCTGTCGCAGTTTAAGAGGGGGAGAATCATCGGCATGATAGAAGCTGGGTGGTCAGCTAGGCGTGTAACTCGTCAATTAGGCCACTCTGATTGTGTTGTGAGGAGGTTTTGGAAGCAATGGATCCGAAAGATGTCCTTTACACGAAAACCAGGCTCAAGACGCCCTCGACAGACCAGTCGTCGAAAAAACCGACACATCGTAAGAAATGCACACGTACAGCCAACTGCTTCAACGGCCGCCATCCATGCACAGGTAGCACTTTCACTAGGGGCCCCTGTGTCTTCTCGAACCATACGATGGAGCCTGGCTGAAGGACATTTGGGATAGCGGCGCCTATTACGTGTGCTGCCCTTCACGCTCACCCATCGACGTCTCCGTTTGGAGTGGTGCCGCGCACGAGGAAACTGGACTGCGGCGGAATAGAACCAGGTCGTCTTTAGCGAAGAATCCAGATTCAATCTCAGCAGTGATGACAATCGTGTTCGTGTGAGACCCCGAGGTGAACCATCAATCCTGCCTTTGCTTTACAGCGGCACACTGCTCCCGCAGCTGGTGTGATGGTATGGGGTGCCATTGTCTACAGTACATGGTCACTCCTAGTATTGATCCGTGGCACCATGACAGCGAAACGGTATGTCCATGACATCCTGCAACCACATGTGTTGCCACTCATTCAACGACTCCCAGGAGCCATTTTACAACAAGACAATGCTCGGCCTCACACGGCAAGGATGTCACAGGACTGTCTCCACATTGTTACTGCCCTTCCTTGGCCTACCCGATCCCCAGATTTTATTCCAATCGAGCATATCTGGGATCATTTGGGACGGCGAGTTGGGCATCCCACGAGTTTGAACGAACTAGAGACAAGGTTACAGCAAATATGGAACGAAATGCCTCAAGACATCATACAGAACTTGTATGCTTCAATGCCCGATTGTATCGAATAGTGCATTCGCGGTAGAGGGGATTCCAACAGGGTATTAAATGCTCCGTTCTTTTGCCTTTTTCTCTGAAATAAATGACCCTTTTTTTATTATCTAATCATTTACTTATATCAAAGTAGTCATTACGTATGGAAAATTTCGTTTCATTTTGACGACTCCTATTTGGTTCGCTAATTTCTTTGTCCATGAATGTATGTTTGAAAATCTTTTTGATTCCTGACTCGAAAAAATTCTTTTTCAACTTTATGCAGAGAAGAAAATACTGTGTCAATTGCATCCTTGTGCTTGATATATTTTTTTCAAAATTTCCAAACAATGTAAAGCATTAGAAAATGTAACAGTTATGAAAAGTTTCATTATCAATTTCTTCATCAAAATAGCTATTCATTTACTCTGCTTGAATTTCAGTTGCACCGATAAGCAGTGCATCATCAAATGTAACAGAGACTTTAAAATCTGAAAATGTACCTTGTGTGCGTTGTGTAGTGGGATGAGATAAGAAAAGAGTTTTTTTCCCTGTCCTATTCAAAACTCACACGATAGGTTACACTCATGACTTATCTGCACTTGTAAAGTCTAATAACGCTCTGCACCCTTTCCCGTCGAAATTTTCTGCGAACAAGAAAAATCCCTTTTCTGTTCCGGACAAAAAGGATGTCAATGGGGGGGGGGGGATCCAATTCTTTCAAATCCAAGCTAATAATTTTTTTTTCATCTCTTGAGATAATTATTCTTTAAATGGGGGTTTTGCCTTCATTTTAATTTGGAAAAGAGAAAAATTCGTTAAATCGGAGTCCAACTGTTTTTCACTTCACACAATCAGATTTCATATTACTTATTATTTCAGTGTTTTCAAATAAATTGTGACTCTTTAAAACCATGTTCTCTGAGTAAACGATTCATATTCTAGACATGTCAATCATTTCAAAGATATCTACCATTAAATGCAATAGCAGTGTCAATCAGCCCTTCTATATATCTATCAAAAAAATTCATCAAATTTACATATGTTTCTAATTTTCACTTTCGAATGAATTTATTTTTCCCTACCTGTTAAGAGTATCCCTACCTGTTAAGAAATATCGAGTGAGTTTTCTTTCTGGTCGAATTTTATTTTACTGCACGATGAATATTTTCTTCCAAATTACTATTGCAATATATCTTGAAAATTTTTATTTAATCTTACTGTTCCGCAACTAAGCGAATTCGAATACTTACTAATTCATTTAAATAGATTAATATTTCTAATAATATCTAAAAAAAAGGTTAGATACTCTTACTTTTTTTTACAATTGAATTTTTTTTTTTGAAAAAATAGTTCACTTGTAATTAGAAACAATATACCAAAACTGGATATAATTATACTTAAAACTACATAATACCATACTATGCCATACATAATACTATACTTAAAACTACATAGTACCCTACTATGCCATACATAATACTATACTTAAAACTACATAGTACCATACTATGCCATACATAATATCATACTTAAAACTACATAGTACCATACTTAGCCATACATAATACTATACTTAAAACGACATAGAACCATACTATGCCATATAAAATACTATACTTAAAACTACATAGTACCATACTATGCCATACATAATACTATACTTAAAACTACATAGTACCATACTAAGCCATACATAATACTATACTATACAACATAATAGTATACACAATACTACATTATACAATACTATACTACGCAGTAGTATTTTATGCATAAGTACTGTACATATTAGAAGCCCAGTGGCTGAGTGGTAGTGCATCGAGCTTCTACGCGACAGGTCCGGGGTTCGAATCCTTGGCAAAGCAAGGTCGACTCAGTTTTTCATCCCTTCAGTAGGTTGATAAATGAGTACCAAGCTTGCTTGGGAACTGAACACGTTGTGGGTGAACTGAATCAAATTGATCACTTCACCCACACACCTACTCATGCATCCCAGCCCCTAAGGTCACGGAAACGAAAATAGGCCCTCAGGCTATCTGAGTAATAATTTAACTATGGTGACCAATCGTCACTTTAATACCTTCAACCATCTAATCTCTGAGATGCGAAGTAAAATATACTAATACCTGATTGTTAGCAATCTCTCCTTTTAGTCAAATTCTCTATACCTCAATATCTTACTAGCTTGCAAACCTAGACTATATATATCTGACTTAATCTGCATATCAAGGTTGCTTCTTCTGAGGGTTCGTTGCGATTAAATTCGAATTGATAAACCTAAGATTTCCCAAGAAGATTAGAGAAAGAGAACGCGGATAGATCCGTCAAAAACCCCACTTTTGTATAAATTATTTTATATATAAAAGCTGTTCTCTAAGAGAGAGAGAGAAAGAGAGAGACAGCAATGTTTATAATACTATAGCATCCACATATTTAGATATTTTTAAACTCTATTATTTTTTTACTAACATAATTCTTTTTAAAATCATATGTCTGGTTAATCGTACAATTTCGTTTTTTTTCTTCCATTTTTGATGATTATTGATTATTTACCTCTCAATAGTAGAGAATTTTGACTACAATTATATAAATATTAATAGTAACAAACAAAAATTATAGTCCAACAGCATATATTAGAAAGAAAAATTGTTCGTTGTATCCCTGTAGCGCAGTGAATAGCGCGTTGGACTTCTAATCTACAGATCATGGATTCGAATACCACCTGGGATGGCCTAATTTCTGATAATGTAATTTCTTTTTACTATACTATTTTATTGAAATAGTTAAATTTAATTTATGAATAAATAGTAACAATCAAAAATAATAGTCCAACACCCTATATAGAAAGGAAAATTGCAAGGAAAATCACTTTGTATTTTATCCATTAATATTGTTTTTCTGTTATATGTATATACATATTTATATTAATTGTAACTATTTAACAAAAAGTAACTACAATAAAATCTTTCTTTGTTGACCTAAGTGGGAATCTACTTAATTTTTTTTTATATTACTTGTTACGAAGGATCCTAAAGGACATAACAGCGTGCAATGCTGTAATGTTTTAAAGACATTTATTCAAATTATCCTAGACATTTGAAAAAAATATAGTATACTTCAAGAGCAATCCTTTAAGTTCATTAGGTGTGTCGTTTCCTTTTCCGATATATATAGAAGTAAAAATTTTTTTTTATGCTCATATCTTTTTTTCATTTTTGAAGCTATCATTTTTATACTCGGCGTTTAAATCACACCCGTAAATTTCGATCACATTTTTTTGTGTTTAAAATGCGCGTTATACGCCGGATTTTACGGTACTTATGAAATCTGGATATTCCATTGATGACATCAGCAACTATTACGCTTCACTTCATTATGATTTAATACAGCCTGAACTAGATAAGTATGCTAAATTTCATGTTGCACGCGACCATTATTCTACATCTCATCCCCAAAGAGGCCCGACTCTAGCATTTCCCATATTTTACCCTGACTTCTCGTTTGTCAGGCAAAATCATTCATCAGCCTTCCTCTGCATATTTCGCCTCTCTACAACACAAGAGGAGGCTGTCATCATCACCTTTCGATGATTGATGAATGGAGCGCGATCTCGGCATGCATCGCTCCGGATATCATCTGGTGTTCTCTTCATTAGTATAATGGATTTTGCGTTGGTATATCAGAAAAACATTATCTAAATGCAGGCAATACTTGTTAAGGTTGTGCATTTTTTTTTAAACATAACACACTACTCAGAGGTGGATAAACACTAGAAAGGAGAAAACATCCGAGGGTATTCAAGGAACAAAATTTTTAGACTGTAAATTATTATTGAAACAAAAACATAATAATGATGAGGTTACTAAACAATTAATATAAGTCAGACCCAGCGATAAGTAACGCTGTATATTGCTACATTAATTACTTCAAAAAATATATTATTTTTATTTATTTACAAGCTGATATACCCGTTCACACGGGTGAATTGAAAAATAAAACTGTAGAGATTGTGAAAGAATAACGATTTTTTTTATGTGTTAAATTTATGAGAATTGCAAATTAAAGAAAATAAAGTTTTTTTAGCATATCTCTGTCCAACAAGAAATCAGATTTGCCGAATTTGAAAACTGTAGGTCCAATAGTTGAAAAAAAGGGGATTTTTCTTTTTATCTATAACGCCCCCGAAACACCCATGTGGATTGACTTTTGAAAACCCTCTTCTTATCAGATAGCTGCTCAGCAAAAGTTACATGTGTTCTAAATTTCAAGTTTATAAATTTCAGATTTAATTATTCATAAAAGGGAATTTTTTTAGTATATAAGTCACAACTCCTCTTGGAAGTCAAATTTCACAAGATCCCTTCTTAGAGGATTTCTACTCCATGAAAGATACACGAATGAATGTTCTGTGGAATGGGAGGGAGGGGGGCAATTATTTTGGCTCGAGGGCCTCTATGTGGGAGCGGTGAATACTGGAGCACCGCACCTTTTTTAAACGATTGCATTCATTAGCTATCTGTAGAAAAGGTATAAATTGTAACGAAAAATCAATAAATATAAGGTTATAAAAAGTTTTCGGCCCATTTTATACTTTAAATCACTTATTCTAAAAGACCAAAGTATGAACTTTTTAGTACAGAGTGTCGATTTATTATAGTGATTAGAAATCCGTACAGAGCGATTGAAAAATTCTTTTCATAAAAACGCATCAATATTGACTCATTTTTAAAAAATCGTAAAAAACACAGGATTTTTATTTTGTAAAAAAAAATTACACCATGTTGTGGTAAAATAAATGATCTTTCCGATTCTGTAATAATTTTTTGTCTGATTTTGATTAGAAGAGGAGGATTGTAAATTTAAAAACGACGGAAAAGTAGGAATTTTTCTTCTTCCATTCCGACAGCGATTTGGCGCATGCACAGAACACAGAAAGTAACACTTTTGCTGTACAAATTTCACTCCTCATAAAATTTCCACACCGGGGGCTTTATATGAAAATTAATTCTTAAGGAGTAAACTGCAAAAAAAAATTACTAGAAAAGTAAACAGGGTAGTAACGAATTTTCGAGGAATACTAATATAAGCCACGGGATCGCGAATATATGAAGAAAAAAAAATATTATCAATCGGAGCCCCTACTTCTGAAAAATATGTTTTAGGGCATGAAGATTAGGAGAAAAACAATAAAAAATAATAATTTTAATACTTAATATTGTCACAAAGGGGTTGAATTTTCGAGAAAAAAAATGGAAAAAAAGAACTTAAAAGTTTGCATACATAATTTTAGACTCAAAACAATTATTTTTCTACAACATAAATAACCAAAAGTGATGATTACTGATAATTTAGTACTGAGTGTTGCATTGTATTGAGTTTGGTAGGAGCACAGATAGTTCTTTCAAATCCTTATCTCTATTCATAAGATTTTAATGACTTTAAAAATGGCCTTCTTAGAAAATTCAAAATTTTTTATTAAAATATAATTATTGTACTTTAGTAAGATATAAAAATTTCTTTAGAATGAGAGTTGAAAAGTGGACGAAAGAATCCGACTTTTTACTATAAGAGAATCTCAAACTCTTAAACTTCATTCCTTCCGTGGTAGTGCTTAACAAAAAAAAAAAAACCCTACTTTTTAATTTATTTTACCTAAATAAAAAGTTTACAATTCAAAATTTTGAGAAACTTTTATTGTAATTTTATTCTTTTTCCCGAGGTAAGCATTTACAATGTTGTGTTTTCAGTAGCTGAATTTTAATTCGTTGTAACGAGAATGACGAATGAAAATAATAAAGAGAACGAAAATAAGTGTGTCCTTATTTTTTTAACAAAGAAAACGCTTTTCTTCATGAGTTACTAAAAATGCGTTCAAACGTGATTTGCTCTTTTAAAAAAATGAACAAATATCACTGGTTTTTCTCTCTGTTTTCAAAGATTGAATTAATTAGCAGTATTTTCCACAGCTCCATGTTAATTCAATTGGATGAAAATGATGCGTAACCCAACATAAAAACTGTATTATTTCTTAACCACTTTCTTTGACACGTTCAGTATTACACAGTTATGTAGACCAATGCTTTTCAAACTCTCCATATTTGTGACCCAATTTTTGATCATTATTTTCATCGCACCCCCTTCAAGAATAACAATGTATTAAATGCAATAAAAATGTACTTTGACACTAAAGCTGCAATATGACTTTAATTACAAACCAGCGTTTCACAAATTGTAGGGCGCGTTCCCCTAGGTGACCGCGTCAATAATACGAGAAGGGCGCTAGCATATTGAAAAGTCGAAAACGAAAGATTATTTTTTAAGAAAATATTAATTTACTGAAAGAAAACCAACAAAATACCAAAAATAAAATTCACATTTACACTGATATAATACGCTTATAAATGTATCAGTACTGCACAATGTATTTTATAATTAATTTAACAATACTAAATTAAAAACAAGTTCAGTAATTACCAGCGACCCCATAGGATTGTCATAAACAAAATTATATACAAAAGTTCTCACTTATCTTGATAATTAGTACGGTTTATTACTAATCCTTTAACTGCTGATGAAAAATCACGCGAATCTCTCCCAAGTGCCTCTATTTTCCATGGAGGCGTGCGTATAAGATGTATGGGGGGGGGAGAATAGGAATAAATAAGTGAATCCTCCGAAATAAGTAAATCCTTCCCAAACACACTCTGTCAAGGTCCTTTTATTGCATTCCAAAGCCTTCGGAATAATTTTATGGATAGCAGTGTACAGAAAAGATCGTACTTCGGAAAGACGTATATATGCGCCCGAGATAATTAGCGCTTTGGCTGAGAGAAACGTTTATATACGCCGGCGGCACTTAAAAGGTTAAAATCGCATTGTAGTTTTAGCGTCAAAGTACAGCATTATTGAACTCAATGCATTGTTATTGTATGGAAGGGGGGCAATGAAAATTATGATTGTATATTGGGTCGCAAATGTTGAAAGTTTGAGAAGTACTGTTATAAACCATTCGAATTATCATGATTAGTATTAAATTTTGAGTATGACAAGCCCATCGAAGGCACTAGTAATTATTAAACTTGTTTTTAATGTATTGATAAAATAATCATCAAAAAACATTGTACAGTACTGATACAATTATAAGTATATCATATCAGTGTAAATGTGTACTTAATCTTTATTATGTCAAAATGCATTTTAATTTTCTTCATTTCAGTAAATTATTACTTTTAAGTCTTTTATTTTCGAATTTCACTATTCTCGCGCCCTACAGTTTGAGAAATGCTCGTGTAGACTGAAGAATTTTTCTGTTGATACATTAATCATGATCACATATACGGTAATAAGCTGAATTAGAATAAGGTTACATTTGCTTCTGGAAAATGTGGTATTTAAAAGTTTTTTATTTCATTTTTTTTTAACTAACCTTGCACAAGAATAAATAAAAAGCGACGGAGTTAACGAGCATAAGTAATTGTTCTAAAAACCAGTCAACCCCAGACTTTACCTTCCTAATTTACTGACCACACCATCCTATTTCATAATGTAAGTAAACTGAAGAATGACTGAAAAGAATGTTTCTTTATACTGTAAATAGACTACATTAAATTATTCTTACATCGGCTTCTGGTAAAAGATTTTATTTTTATTTTTGCCAATTTAATTTCATTTTCTCTAATTAACGTTGTAATATAATTAACCGATAAGTAACAAGCACTGTACACATAGTA